GAATAAAATGGCGGCTGTGATATGGCCCTGGACTTTGCCGATAACATGACGTGTGGTGACGGGCCTAGATAGAATTAGTGGAGGCTTTGTGTGTGAGGCGTTATTGGCTACGGGAGGTTGCACGTGACTTGGTTCAGTTGATTGGAGATGCCAAAACAGAGGGCTTAAACTTTCGTTTTTTACCCACGAATTCCCCCTTTTTCCTTCTCTGGGCTTTTCTAGTTTTACATCAGACCAAGGAGAAATCAGCGCACCCAAGTTTTTTAATACAATATTCAACTGATTAGAATAACCGTTAGTCAAGATATTCCGATGAACCTCGTTGTCAGGCATTTCAAATGACTCTAAAAACGGCACCAATCAGACAACCCACAAACACTGAAATGGTTTGAATTGCAGGCTCAGCAAAGCCACCTGACGTATTTCGAAGTCTAATTTACAATTTGGACTTGAAAAATGGATGAGGAATGCACATCGTGTTGAATCTGGTTACAAGCATTGCCCAACTTCCGGCAGCCACCTGCACTGTCTTCAGGGCAACGATATGAAAAAGCCTTTTCATCATCAACTAAATGAGGTTTAACGCCACATTTTATTCTGAATTCGGTAGCTTAAACCTCAGACGTCAGATTCTATCCAATGAAAATCGCTTTTGAAAAGAGTCTAGGACCACGTCACTGATGAGGCCCAAGTTTCGTAGGTGTTCGCATAATACCTTGGCCTCTTGCAAGAGTCTATGAACAAGCGCGTTACTCAAACCGGAATAAACTGCACTGCGTAGCACGTCGATTTTAGCACCGCAACCAACAGCTGTTGGACATCTTTGTGTACATAGAAGGGAAGAAAACATTTATCTTTGTAAAGTGCAACAGCGAAAAGTATGAACCCATCAATTACTGCTAACCATTCTCGTGAAAGAAATCAGCACCCAAATAGACCGTATTTCCCCAGATTGGAAGCAACCTGTCACCATCGAGCGTTCTGGCATACAAGCACATAAGTCCAATCATTTTAGTGAACCAAGGATCTTTGGAATGCTGCGACTCAATTACGCCTCCGATTCCGTCAGTTTTACACATATTACTTTCATGTGCCCAAGCATTCGATTTTTGGTATTAACGGCGGAAGTAATAAAATTAAAAAAAAACATGGATTGCCGAAGCCGAGTTACATCGACAAGGAATTAACCAAGAACTCCGTCGATTCCAAAATTGACACAGACGAGCTACTTGCGGTCGATAATCTCGTAAAATCACTCGTTGGCTGAGTGAATTCCACTACTATTGGATCATCTGACATCAACTAAATAACTCCTTGTGTTAACACCTCCTGTCACTTTTATCAACTGCTCTTTGCTTTTAGAACACCGAGGCATTACTCTGTCGGGTTAAAGAATGAGGAATTGCTTTCACCACTTAAAGCCTGAGGCCTCAACTGTAAACGCAAATATCTGGCTCAATGACAGATTGGCGACATTCAGTTATTATTATTCTGCTGTCCAACAAGCTTCTAGTTCCCTTTTTTGGGGTTCACTTTTACAAAGCTGCAAAATGGCAGGTGTAATAATAACTACGCATCGAAAAATTAACGCATCAAAACCATTCACGTCGAAATATATTGGATAATTTAGAGAATAAACGGGGCAGTTGCACTTTGACCAATTTGAGGGCTAGGCATTTATGAATGCACTTTTAGTTTGATGTTGCTTATAGGCGCTATAGTAAATCACAATGATTGTTGCATCATCACGAAGGAAAGTTATTACTCAGGCATGTAAGCCGAAGTAAAGCGGTTGTGGAGGTGAGACTTGTGCAAGACATCAAAATTTATTATCAAAAAAGGTGAGGGTGTTTAGTCCGTCCTTATTGCACCGACTCACCAATTATGGGAACCGATGGTGAAAAATAGGACACTAGGTAACGTATTAATTGGAGATCTGAACTTATCAGTGGTTAAAACGTGGGTTTGATGTCAGAATTGGTTGAAGTAGGCTATGCAAGAGGGAAAATTCATCCTCACAGAAAATTGAAAACATGAACAGTTTGCGATTTTCATTCATTCTCTTCACTATAGCCTTTTATTGCCTGGGTTTTAAGCGAAGCCTGGGCAAGGTTACTGTGATGTCAGGTGTAAATCTTGGAAAATGAAGGGCGAGTGATAGGTCAACTCCCACTTCAGCTTTACGGGTCCTGAACGTGGCTCCGAAACGATGCACGACGCAAGCGATCGGTGAATTCGCGCGCCAGTCTGTTTGAATCCTCGCGTGTTTGTAGATGGTTAGTCCGTCGCATCACTACAACTCCAAAAGCGTTGATACCGTGTTTCGACTAGAATAACACACACACACATAAATCCCTACTTTGAGACGTCTCAACGAAAAACTCAGTCTTGTAAACTCGCCTTTATTTGCTTGGGTCGTTGATTGTCCAATGCTGAAGGCAAATGAAAACATTAGAATACTACCTACGTTTGAGTAGTATATCAGACTTTCAAGACTTACTCTTGGTGGATGCTCTGCTAGGCACCAAGTCAGCGTCGCTTTGATCTCGTGCTTGATAGAGCACCTTTTTGTCGAAAGCGTCGATGGATGCAATCAATTCTTTTCTGAAGGCCCTTTTGTCTAATCGACAGCCCAGGAAAGCATCAGTTGGAGAAAGACATGAGCAGGTTCTCGAATCCCTTTTAGCAACAAAAGACACATAAGCTGTGGCGACAGGCTGATCAACAAAAGCAAAAGCTTATTTTAAGTCGCTCCATACAGCAGAAAAGGGACCTTGTTTGTGCTGCCATAGCGCGATTTCTAGGCTTCGTGATTTGATTCTACTTCATCACCTCCTTCAAAATGTTGGTTTGAGTGTTGTCTCCTGAATTTGTGCACAGCAAGGAAACGGAGTCACATGATCACTCAAAACATGGATGTATCGATGTATCGGTAATGTCTATTTACGGGAAGATCCATGCATTGAATGTATTAGCATAGAGGCGGAGAAGAAAGGTTTACCAGTCTGTTCAAGATGTACGAAAGAGGAACCAATTATCCCTTCATTTTGTGATTTGAACCGAAGCCTGCAATTTATTTCAGGAACAAGAGAGAAGTAAAAGAAAGCCGAACGGAACACTGGAAAACTAAACACGATTCGACGAAGCTAGATTTTCAGGGCGTCGTGGGTGCATTCGTGGCTGTGGGTTACTTGGAGATGCGTAAATCGAAGAAAACGATTACGATCTAGGACAAAATTATCGGGACCACGGCTCACGCTTTAATGGTCCATAGGCATGGAACTTCCACACACGAGCAAGTAGCTGGAACGTTGACACCTGTCAATGAACATGGTGCAAGTTCAACAAGATATTCTAATTCATGACCAGCTCATCGGCAACTTAATAAGGCTGGGCACGGCCATAAAACGTCATTAATCACAACGAAGACTGGATGACATGCACTGTGGAGCACTGATTCTGGTTCAGGAAAAGCGGAGGGGTCAAGAAAGGCGAGTTTCTGACGAATTCATTAAATACACACAAAACAAAAATGTAAACTAACCTTATAAGAAGTGGACACCACCACCAATTGATCATGCTGATGGAGGTGCTTTCATTCAGGTCCATAATTTTCTCCGCGACTTCATCACCTCCACCAGTGCTAACCAGACGCTTCGTACGAACCGGATCCATAAAATGCTTGAAAAAGGCTGTCTCCAGAGGTCGCCATCCTGGAACTGTGTGGTCCATCATGTAGACCCCTTTACCACAGGCATTAATAGGTTTGCATGTCGTCAACAAAAGCAGTTCAAGTTACTCGTAAAACCCAAATTGCTAAATAGATGCGTTGTAGATGCTGACGCAAACCTTATTAACTCAACAAAAAGTAAACGTAGAGCCAATCTTGAGGAGATTGCATTAAGAAAGCAAAGGCAATTTCCTATCTAGACTGCAAATCGACTATTTACTTCAAAATGGGAATCGGGGTCGGTGCGTTGCATTGCAACAGCCTCAACGAACATCTTATTTGAACAGTTTTCATGGCTATTTAACTGTCTCGGTAATAATGCTTGAAAATTGGACGACGTGTCATCGGTCTCGTACTTAAAGTGTCGAAAAATTTCAAACGACTAATAACCTTGAGTAAGGAAAAAGCAATATTTAGATGTATAATATCGCAATTTACTGGACTTTAAAACCACGTGGCACACTAGCTGAAATATAATTAGCTCATGGTGACTTCTGTTTCCGTAGACATTGCACCCAAATAAATCACTAATTCTATCTAGGCCCGTCACCACACGTCATGTTATCGGCAAAGTCCAGGGCCATATCACAGCCGCCATTTTATTCACACTTAGCTCTGGCTGGATGCGTCAGCTCTGTACAACCACACGACGACGAGAAATCACGTGAGCACGTCAGTGTCGTGTCGTGTGAGGGACGATGAGCTAGGCAGGAGTTGAATCAGCACGTGTCGTGGTAAGGAGGTGGACCAACCACAAATGGGGAGTTAAGAGAACAGCCTCACAGGGGTGGGATGTGACACGAGTAGGATGCGGGACTTGAGAGGCGAAACAATGCCGTCGATGACCGATACACACGTGTCCGTGAGGCTGGGCATGTGGGCTCGTGTGCAGCGTTGGTTAATGCAAATGAGGCTGCTAGCTGGTTAGAGGGAAACTTGGATGCTCAAGGCATGCTTGCACACAACCAAGAGTGAAGTGATGGTTTCGCGTGAACACGTAGGTCTACACAGTTGCATTCACCGTGTAAATCGCAAAGAAGTATTGCACTCTGACTTTTCTCAGCATTAGACACTGTCACCAATAAAATAGCTGGGATGAGTTGTGAGGGTTTGTGCGACTGTGCGATTGTGGCGGACATGACTGATGATTAGTGGGTAGAAGATGGGGAAGTTGTGCTGTACTGCAGAGCGTAACACAGTACTTTCTACTTTCAATTTAAATTCCGCATGTGTTGTCACCATGAGTTCGACGTGTTCAGATGAGATCTGAAGGCAATCAGAGGCAACTCAGTTGCACTTGGTGTGGAAGGCTCAGAAGGTATTCGATGTTGTGGCAATATGGATGCTGGTGAAGGAGAAATAGTTGGTTAGGAGTTGGAGTAAGAGTGATGAGGTGATGAAAATGCTGCTTTGGGATGAGTTAATGTGGCGTCGGTTTCACGGAGGTTAGTGAGTAACGCCGCACGTTGTAATAAATGGACCACCAGCATGCGGGCTGTGCTTTTGGTCTGATTGCATTCATAGCTAGCGCACAAAAACAGAGTTTGTTAGTAATGTATTGGCTTTTGTTGCGGTAAATCAGCCGTGGGTTGGTGCTTTCGACGCCCCACATTCGTTCTGCCAATTGTGATTGAGTTGACAACATCTAGGTTGTTCAGGCACATTGATTAATTGAAGGCAATGGGAGTATGTGAGCCCAATAACTCAATGAAACATCAACAGTGGGGTTGCAACCCACGCATCTCCCTTGCATTATCTTGAATTTGGTCTAAATGCTCTCGACTATTCAACCTGCTTCAGGGCATGGCATTGGTGAATTAAGCTTGCCGCTTTTAATGGAGAGGAAGTGGTGGGATTCTAGATTGAATAAGATCAAAGAACAACAGTAGGAGAACATTTATCAAAAATCTCATGTTTAATGTAGATTAGTAATTGTGATGGTCTACATTGGAACAAGTTGGAAATTGCGGATTTTCTGAATGCATCTGCTTGAATGAGTATGCTTTTCAGCGTGTGCATACAACAAGGGCCTCAGTAGTGTCTGGAAGAAGTCTCGATACAGCTGTCAAATAATTAAATTGCAATTCAGGAACACCGATGATAATCCCAGCCAAATTGATCCGTACTCTTGCGTTATTTTCAGAAGAAGTCGACTGTGTGCGTCTTAAAGTTTAACGTAACATTCTTGTCATAAAACCATTTACCGTTGTTAAGCAGGTCTGAAAAAGGTGCAATCTTAGTCTTTATTTCCTGTTCTACCATGCTCGGCGCTCGGTCAAACAATCTCTTGGCGGTATTTTAATTGCGAAAATTATTTTCCTCTTACCTGCACGTAGTCGCTGAAAATTAAGAAGAATTTGGAAGGAGGCAGACACGTCCCCGATGGGACGTTGTAGGATGGCTTGAACCACCTCTGAATTGCTCGTTCTTCTGAATCGAGCCAGGTGCTCAATTGCCTGAAGCAAAAGTCAAATAATTACCGCTTATGTAGGGGCTTGGGAATAAACTTATGGCCTACACGTGCTTTGAAGTTTTTATCCCACATAAATCTAAAATAATTTCTAGTTAAAAAATAGCATAATCTATCAGAGATGTAATTTGCCTGTTGAAATAATACGCTGTTTTTAGGAACACCACAGATAAAAATTGATGCCAGAAATTTTGCAAACGCGAAAGGTCATTTTTGTTACTTTATTACCCAATACTGAGTCAGTTTAAGATGAATATAACAAGGAATTCATACATACATGCTACATCAAATCGGTTTTGGAGTCACAAAAACACCAGAAATAACTGTCCGCACGTAAAAAATTTGATTCAACCCACGAGGCCACATGTATCCCTCATCTGTGTGTACGTGTATTTGGGAAATTATCTTTTTCCGAATTGTCGAAGAATTCTGTCAACGCGTGTTATGTAAGTAGCACAATATATCAGTAATAAAATGTGATGGAAACTGGTATTAGCAAGAATGCAAGCAGACTTCAAGGATGGTGTGGTTGTGAGAAGGAAGAAGATAATCAAGCATCGCACACCCTACGACTCGTAATCCATAATTGGAGGTCATGCGTGTTTGCATGAAGTCTCTATTCAACCGTCGACTCATCTGATCCCTAAATCTAAATACCGGTGACAAACTCAAACCAAGTGAATTATATTATTTTATTTGTCTCGATAGTATTCGTCTTAAAGTGCAACCATGCATTATATCACGAGCAGTCAAAATTTTGGTGTACATCCAGTATCATAAAAAGTATATATTCTGTCAGTACCCTAAAAGCGGCGTGAAATAATTGCAAGTAGAGTAGACATTTTAAATTTTTTTGCAGGCGCAGGTATCGGATAAACCGACAAAATTATACGAATTCCTCAAATGAGCTCCGAATGTGTGGGATCGGACAAGTAGGTTACGAGTAAACATGGAATTCCTAAATAAACGAACGGGAGCTATTCAGAGCTAAAACAATCAGTTGATTTGATAATTAAATGGTGCCACATTGAAAGCGTCGTGCCCCCGAATAACGGAATGATTCATATGCTTACAAGTCTACCCAGTTTACTTGCACGCTGACGAAAACGACAGAAGGCATAAATCCACTGTGTGTTTGCATATATCTGAAGGAATTACTGTTGTGTCAATCTACGATTCCTTTATTTATTACATTCACACAATCGTTGAATGAGGACATTTCTATCACTTCCAACACTGGAGCAAGAGTGCTAACTGATTCTGATTTGGGCCAAAATACACGATGGTAAACGTCTAATTGTACATTCAAAACACAAATCAATTTTTTCCAATTTTTCGCTTTTGGTCCTTTAAGATAGCAACAAAGCAGCTAAATCCATGGGCCATCCATCACTAATTCCAAACTTAAATACGAATGACAAGGAGAGCGGGACTGTAAGGTAGTTAAACACGCATTTTACCACAAACTACTTAACCATAAGTGTTTTTTGAGTGTAATGGTGAAAAATTGCGGTCACACTCTGGCTACCAAGGGAATAACTAGCGTTTCACGATATTACGTTGCCTTTTCTGATGGCTAATTAAGGCGTTTCAACAAGATCGTGAATCTGAAAGCCAACCAATAAGTGTCGCCCACAGATGTTCACTCTCTACAAACACTTCGATTGGCCAGCTTTTTACAAAAACGAAAAAGTGAATCTGAGTTTGGATGAAGTACTGAGTATTAAAGTTCTCAATTCAGTCAGCTGAAAGGCCGGTCTATGTTTCACAGCTTGATATCCTTTGTAGTTCGCCGTTATTGCAATTATACGTAATCCCGATGGCTTCTGCCTACAAATTCTCGATTTATTGTCCTCTACCTAGTCAAGTCTCCAAATTACAAAGTTGGACGCTCCTTGCATGCGAGAAAACGTAGTTAGTAAATCAACCTTGTGGTTTTTAAAGAGTCCACAATGCTACGAAGGTCTGTTAACATGGAGTTTCGCTATCTTTAGTTAGTTTAATTATTTGAAAGAAATACCTTTTTTTACGGATTATATAAATATTCGTTTCAAAACCTACTTCAGTAATGTCGTTGCACGACTCATCTCCGAAACTCGTCAGCTCATCATGACTATCTACCGGCTCATCCACACCGCACTGCGCCTGGTCCTCATTAATGCCGCTAGCACTTGAGGTCAGTAGGCATGCCCTTCCAACCACTTCGCCAGAGCTTTCGTTGCTTCTGCTAGAAAACAGGCCATTGACACGGCTCACCAGACCACGATTCGTTGAAACTTCCCACCTGGCGGACGACTGGTCTTTCAAAGCTCCACTGGACGATTTCAGCCATTCATCAGCATCAATTTTCTGGAAATTAAGATGCCAGCTTGGAAATCGGCTTTACATTCCTCTATTATGTAGGAGAACACAGGAAAAGATTTGTCCTCGCCCACTGCACCTGAGTGCCAAGCCAGTGAAGTGTCACCTCTTTTGTACACAGAGATTCTGAAGTTTCAGTAACGAACTTATTTTTCTAATG